ATCTTAATACATTAAGCCATGTTAAGTGTTTATGTTTTTCTACAGGAGGAAAACGCTTAACGAGAGACTTTGCGCATGCGTTCATATTCTGCTGCTCTGTGGCCACGGATTTGCAGGTCTTGTCTTTTTCTTGCAGGACCCTGTATGTTATAGTACTAAATTAGTTTTAATCGTTTAATCACCACCACAGCTTCTTGTCTCCATTGGCAGCACGCACGATTTGTGTCGATTAAAAGTGATGTCGCAGGTAGCGGAGGGTGCAAGTGGCGATTGCAAGTGACATTGTTATTTAGTTTCTTTTTTCTTGTCTTCACCACCTGGCTACTGTTGTAAAATGTTGAGATTCAAAATAATACAAAATAGAACGAAATAAAAAATAAAAAAGACTGCAAGTGACGTCGCTAGCGGAAGTCTGAGAATGCAAGTCTGAGAGTGCAAGTGCAAGTCTGCAGCCAGACCCTTTTGGCATGGGCGGGAGTGGAACACGCAGGTTGCAGGAGCGGCGGTCCTGGTCATAAATTCAGCGGGAGCGGGCTTAAGAAAACAGTCCCGCGCAGGGCTCTACACTCTAGCCTTTTGTATAATTATTTCACAAATTATATAGTGTGTTTGTGTAAAGTAACAAGCACAAATTCCCATTAATTCCCATGTTGGATGTCTCAGATTCCAGTGGAGCTTGTGAAATGAGATGCGTCTACTGCTTGAGGCAGCACCTGATTGGGCTGCAGACCGCTGATATTAAGAAATTAAAACCCTGGGCTTGCAGAACCTGACATCTTGAGTTTTTCCTCTGGATCAAATCACATCTGCTGATTCTGTTAATACAGGGCATGCTGTTCTTAGCCTGAAACGACATTCAGCATTTCTAACAACTGCAGGAAGGGAGAAAAATCAATATAATGTAATTACATTCCACATACGAAGCCATTAGGTATAATCTTGTCAGTTAGTGGAACAGAATGACAAGGCTGTGTTGTCTACACTGAAAATCAGTTCAATGGAAAGCAATCCTCTTTAAGATCTTATTAAGGAAGGGATGGTGTGACAGATCAATAAAAAAAATAGCACGTTTTCTGCATTTTTGTTTTATTGGTATAGACCAGGGGTGCCCAAACTCGGTCCTGGAGGGCCGGTGTCCTGCAGAGTTTAGCTCCAACCCTAATCAAACACACCTGAACCAGCTAATCAAGGTCTTACTAGGCATACTAGAAACTTCCAGGCAGGTGTGTTGAGGCAAGCTGGAGCTAAACTCTGCAGGACACCGGCCCTCCAGGACCGAGTTTGGGCACCCTATAGACCTACCATTAAGCAAAATGGAGAAAACCTATTAAAGCGTCATAAAACTGTCCATCCTAGATGCAAGCAAATGGAGCAATATAAGGCGTTTTTATTCGCTTTTTTAAACGTCTTATTTCGATTTTGATTTAAAAGGATGGCAAAAATACAAACTCATTTTGCTCTTAAAGTCACCAGACAAAATAGAGGGTATTTTTTCCTCTTATAAAATCAAAATGCAAATACAACATTACAGAAACAACACAATTTGGTGTACATCTACTTCCCTTGATTAGGGTTTGTTTGGGCTTGCAATTTAAGTTTCAAGTAAAGCGACCCAATTTTCTAAAAATATTAGAAGTAAATGTAGCCCTACATATGCGCTACTGGCTGATTTTGCCAAAAACCTTTCCTGTTAATGTCAGCATCCCAGACAGTCTCAGATATTTCAATTATATTGTAATAACTGCGCGTAAACACATGAAATAGTGAATGAGGCAAGTAAAATCATTATATTAAATCCTCTATAAATCTAGACTGACACATACCATAGATACTGATGTTCTCTTGAGTCTGAGGCTGGATGTCTTCCACCCTTACAGTTTGGCTGAAGGTCCAGCCTGTGGGCTTGAACGCCACTAGCTGGTCATACTGCCTGGAGAACTTATTCAAGTGTGTCCGCAGGTTCTGTACAGTTAAGAAAAAACTTCTGGTCATAAATATTTAGGCTGATTAGCTTGAGCTGTTGCTCATTTTTAGTTATTTTGAATAAATATGTCTGCAAATGTAGTAAGTGTAAATACGACTATACTCTTATTCAGAAGTTTTGGGAGAGTATGTTTTTTTTTTTTTTAGAAAGAATGCATTAAATTGATCAAAAGTGACAGCAAAGACATTTATAACCTTACAAAAGATTTCCATTTCAAATAAAGGCTGTTCATTTGAACATTCTATTCAAAGTATCCCAGTTTCAACAAAAATATTAAGCAGCACAATTGTATTAAATATTGATAAGATTATATCAAAATAGACAAGTTATTTAAAATTGTAATAATATCACTGTTTTAGTGTATTTTTGATCAAATAAATACAGCCTTGGTGTGCATAAGAGACTTTCAAAAGAAAAACACAATCTTACTGACCCCAAACTTTTGAATGGTATATGCGTGACAAAAAGGGTAACTGAAGTCAAATGATGCCACATTGCAATCAGCTTCTTTCTTTCAATTCACATAATGACTTTTCAATGTGGCTGAAAAATAAAATGTGGTGCAATCTACAATCAACCTTGCCCTGCAATTTTTCCTCCATCCTGTCAGGGCCATTTAAACCCGTTTCTCATTGGGAACAACTCTGAAATTGCTTTGAATCAACATCTACATTGGCATGGGTGAGAAAAGTTGCTTATAATGGTTCAAGGCACATCATATAACTAATCTTTATTATCTGCAACGGTCTCATTAGAATTTACTTTCAGTCAGACTCAATCAGTGCTACCGCTGCCAGAACTGCTGTGCTGGCATTTGGTCTCTGTAATTAGAATCTTAATTTTTTTCCTCCCGCATTAGCATAAACGCGCTGTCAAGGAAAATTAAAGATAACACTGAACGCTGCATGAATTTTAAACTCCAAATTGAATAAGTAAACATAGCCTCATTGATTGTGTTTAACATAATCAGCTCTTTTTATACACTTATGAAATCAAAAAGCAAAAAATGCAGATGATAAAAATTCCTTTTGATAATTTAAAACTTACAGATATGACAAACAAGCCGCAGAAGTTTTAAATGTAGTTCAACTCACTTTGAAATTGAGCTGCATCATGGGAAGTACATGCACCTGGGCCGGCCGCCAGTCTGTAGTGATGCACTGGCCAATCTCCTCCGACTCCAGGCAGCACATGGTGTTATACTTATCCTTGGACAAACACACCTTAGCGCCCAACACTTCCGATACAGCTAGAAGAACAGGTGGGACAGGTAAAAAATGTTTATATATCGCTATATAGACAAGAAGGAACGAATGAAAATTAGTCTATTGGGATTTGGAAAGAAGTTGCAATCCAATGTGAGATTTCATTTTAGCAAAACAGTCCACAGTGGGACACCAAGTAATCATAGCTTTAAAAGTAAATGGGTGCAGGACATTAATCATGGATGCATTTTCTAAAACGAACAGGAAGCCAGACAAACTGTGGAACAGGAACATAATTTCAAAGTCAAGTCAGGACAGCATTTGCAAACCTCTTTTTTAAACCGTTTTATTTTATACGAGCCTCATTCATGAGTGAGTATGACGGTCACGGATAATAAAAAAGTGAACAATCTATCCTTTCAAGAGCGGATGAAGTAGCACAAGGTCTACAAGAGGTCTGGACAAAGCAGGACAACATTGCTCACTGACCTAGAAAAACCTTCTCTTTCCCAACTGCGTAGGTGCCACAAACCACAAGTGTACGAGGGTTCAGTGTGATCTGTTCAAAAGCTGTGTTTACGGCAAAGGTGATGACTTCCTGTTGAGTGGGAAATGTATACTCAGGACTGCAATACCTATGGAGAAAAAAAAAAGTTTTATTTTGTTTTTAATCTCAACCCTATAACCCATCTCAGTTGATGCAATCAAAGTGGGCAACACACAACGCAGCACCAAAAAGTAGCTTTATTAGTAGGGAACTCACGTTGTGTCCAGATAGAGGGTCTGTATCCTGAGACCCTGCAGCTCTGGGTAGCGCTCCATGGACGGATCAGCCCGGAAGTCACCTGTGTGGAGTACCGTCTGGCCCCCGTAAGAGCTGGGGGGGGGGGGGGGGGGGCAGTCATAGTAATTAAGGTCTTGTCATTCTGTATGAACATAGGAACCTTTTATTAAGTAATAAAATTGGCTTCAAATGTTCATTAGTTAGAGGATACACTCACTGATTAGCATCCAGGAGAGTGACCTTCACTCCTTGCACCATACACTCTGTGTTCATTGGGAGAACATGAACATACTGCTCACCCACCTTCAGCTTGCTCTTCACCAGGTTACCAGTTATCTGCCATGATTAACACCAGTTAGTCATGAAATCCAAGATTCAGTCAAGAGCAAATCCTCCCTGACACCATCATTGAGAAAAAAAGAAAACGTTTTCTTTTCTTCATGGGATTTTGCTTTCCCCATTTGTTTTTCCATTTTTCACTTTCATCTTGATTTATGTAAATTTGTGATGTTTCATGTCAAGGTGTTGATATTCCTGATTTCATATCCATGACACATTTTTGAAGTTTAAAGTGTTAGGTTTAAATTTCATCCAAAAATGAAAATTCTTTCATGATTTACTTATGATTTAAACAACTCCATGTTGCTCCAAAACGGTATGACCTGCTATCTTGTGTGGAATATAAAAGAAAACACTTTGAGATGTGCTTTAGTGTTTTTTTGTGTGTGTATACAAAAGAAGTCAATGGTCTTCAAAGCTGTGTGGCTCCCAATGCTCTTTTGTATTTCAAAGAAGAAAGAAATGAATAAAGGTTTGGAAGAACATGAGGGTGATTAAATAATGACAGAATTTTTATTTTTGAGTTAACCATCCCTTTAGTTTCTTGGAAGGGAACTGTGAATGTTAGAGAATTTCTATATAGTAAATTGAACTCTTCAGTTTTCCAAAGAGCAAGGAAAATCCTGCTTTCATTATTCTTAAAGTGCAATGAGGTTGGGATACATACTTTGTTACAGTAGATGGTTAAAACGGAGTCTTTTCTCAAGCCACCATAGTGGTCCGAGTGGAAGTGAGTGAGAAAGTAGGCTGTGACACCTTCAACAACCCCATACTGAAACGCATCCACAGCAAAACCAGTTCCTAAACAGAGAAAAAGCATATTATATTCACCAAAGCACATTAGACCAAAACAAGCTAAACAATAACAGTTATTATGAGAGTAAAAGAATAAACACACATCTTGTACAATAAAGTTCTGGCACAAGTTATTAAGAACGAAAGTGTAAATGCTTATGCAATCTTAACAACTGGTATTAAGTAGGTCTAAACAAAAGCATTAAAGCAGTTCACAAACCAGGAATTTTCTTGTAGAATGGACACCGCTTGGGCTCCTCGGGATCTCCATCTGTCGCTCTTCCCCTGTTCCATCTTTTCTGCCTCTCTGCCCTCCCTCCTCGCTTTCCTTCTGTTTGTGTGGGCCGAGTCGTACCATCTTCTGCAGCAGGCGAGACACTGGACACTTCAGATGGAGCTTTGCTCTTCCTACGCCATCTACCCTGGAGCTTAGCGTCTTCCCCCTGAGTTTCTGAAATCCTCGCTCTCCTAGACCCTTGCTGATCGGTTTCTCTGACCGTTGCCTTCACTTCCTCCTCAGCCTTTTTTTCATTCAATGGCTTCAAGCCAAAAAACACCCCAATGTCTGTTTGCTTTAATCCAGAGGGACCTGCCTTAGTCTGAGTTCTCCTAGGAGCCATAGATTGTGTTTTCTGAGTTAGGGCTGTTTGGGTGGAAGACAACTCTTGGTTTATGTAACTGTTGGCATGTACAGGATTAGATATGCGCTCCCGAAGACACTCTAATACCAAACTTTGAGGTGACTGTAGCTGGGAGTTTGGATCTTCAGGATTTGTTGTGGATTGTTTTCCTATTGATTGAGGTCCATGCTGAAATGTTCCATCAGAAACACCTGTGGAGCTGGAATTAATCAGGTGATCATCGGGTGCTAACGATGTCTGCAGTTTCTCACAGGTGTCTAATGAGTTTTTGTCTGGTCCATGTTCCATGTTCCCTGTCTCATAGTGGTCCAGCATATTATAGAATAGATCATCAGCTTCATCGCTGAACAGTTTAAGAGAATCATCACCAACCTCATTTTCCTGCAGTGCAGTACTGTGAATCTCTATATTAGTTCTGTGCTCCTTATCCACATTTGGAAGTTCAGAGAGTGGGGAGTAGGAGATATAATCATCATCATTACATTCGAAGAGCTCGGCTTTAACCTCATTAGTCTGTGTCTGAACAGCATTGTCAAAACTATGTGCATTAGCTGGAATTGAAGTCTTCATTCTTGCTTCCTGTGAGGAATTCTGAGATTGAGATCTTTTGACAGAAGGAGACCAACCTTTCTTTTTCTTGATATCTTCAGTATTAGGGGAGCGCAAAAGCAGCAGTGCGTTACTCTGGGTGGGAGTTCCCTTTGGTCCATCACCAGGAGATGAACTTTGGCTGGATGAAGCGGATACATTCACAGCGCTGTCCACAGAGCTCTCCGTACCAGATGCAGGTGCAACATTATTAACTGACTTCAAGTTGAAGTCTGAGATGGCTTGGGTCGTGCAGTCGTTTAGCGCTCGACTCTGAGCAAGTAGAGAGTGGCTGTATCTCTTGTAGTGATTGGGAATGGAGGCTGCACAATGAAGACCATCTGGACATTCTGTAACATTAGAGACAGAGAAAGTGTCATTTTTTTTCTTAAATATTACACAATAATATTCTTGGAAATATTCCACATTAAAGTGATAAGAGCATGTTACTAATAGGCTCCTCAAACCTTATAATCAATTCGTTTTGTTTTTACAATTAGTTGTAGGCCTACATATAGTAAATATTTAAGTAAAAGACATCAGTCATAAAAAAAAACAATCCATTGACCAATTTATTTATTTTAATAGTTTCATAACTGTGTTCAAGAATAGCATTCTCTAGCTGTCTATATTTTACAGTGGCGTATCATTTAAAAATAACGCGCATGTGAATTAAATCTATAGTAAATGTACATATACATTTTCCAGCTATGTAAATAACAATAAAAAAAAATCCCTGATATTTCCATATATGTGGGAACCCTGTAATGAATGATGTTGTTGATTCTGGTGTGTTAGACAACAGAATGACTGTTGACTTCACATATGAATTTATGAAAAACATTACCTTTACAGTTGTCACCAGGGTTATCTAAGCATTCTGCAACATGCCATTGTTGAGACTGAACCACTAAGAGGGAAAATGGCATTTGACAGACAGGACAGAAGCCTCCTGACTGAGGGTCTTTTTCCTGGACATCCTGAGAAAGTGTCCCATGATTCACGTCCAGGGATCCTGAGTTCACAATGTTAATGGGAGCATTATTGCCATTCTGGTCTAAACCAGTGTGTGTTTCAGCACTGTTGACTTCTGTTTTTTGCACTGATGTCCCAGGATTGCTATCCTTTCTCCTCTTGGTCCCATTTTCTCTTGTTATCTGTGATTTGCAGCTTCGTTTTTTGGTTTTCTTAAGAGGTTTATAATCCCAGATTTCACTCTCAGAGCCGCTCTGTGACATTTGTAATCATTAATAGATTCTACTGCTTTGTTCTGAACGAAGCTGTTTTGTAACATCACATTCATGTTCTCTTAAGACAAAAAACACGACCACAGCACAAATAAGACCGTATCATTCAGAAAGTCATCACGAAAGCAAAAAGCCTTAAGAAAGACGTATTCTGTAAAAGTATTTTAACAAAAACCGTTCATATTAGATAATGCCGTCGAGTATCTTTCGTCATTACTCTTACCGCCAATGTTGAAAGCGCATTTATTTTAACATTGATGTTCGCATATTCCATAATGCAAATCGTATCGAGTCATTTCATATTAGACATGGGACATCTATTTATAGATTTAATAGAAACAGCATTTTTAATAATATGACGAATATGTTAACTACTCGCCAAAGAAGTTTATTTTGTCTTGGATACTGTTGCAATTTGTCTGTCGAAAGTGCCGAACGTAAATGTTAGTCGCTATTCTGTTGTTGTGGGAGTCATGGCGTCTTACAGTAAACTGTCAGATCTTTTCCCCATTCAGAGCCAGCTAGACTATGCTTTAGAAGATGCGACGACTCAAGAAGAGAAGGAAAATCTCGTACATCAGTATTTACACAAAATAGACGAAAGGGACGATTTAATTATACCGGATTTTGAAGAAGGCAAGAGTGTAAATGAACTCTGTGGGTGTGAGAATGTATACAGTATTTGTATCTTATTAGAGTGGCTTTGAAACTTAAGATCAATCATAGATTGATTCGTGATTTAGATAAAAGACTAATATTTTGGAATTACAAATTGCTTCTGTCTGCTTTTTACTGCGTTATAATGTACTGAATCAACAGTGAGTGTTATACAGTACACTGTAGTGTTGGTTCTGGAAGGTTATAATGGGGGGGGCGTCTATTCAGATTTGTATCTGCCTTGCCTATTTTCTTTAAAGGCACCACCACAAAAAAATGCTGAATCATTTGAAGCAACATATTTTATATGCCTTTATATAATTTATTTATTTGTTTGTTTTTTTCAGTTAATGTAAATTTTCATAATAAAAATATTAGTTAAACACTAAATTCTATTGTTATTTTGCAGGACTGGAATGGTTGAACACAGACGGCCCACTGTTACTCAGGAACGAACTGTCGATACTTTCCGTACCCACTGTATATATTTTTCATTGAATTTTAAGTTTCATTTGCATTTTTTTTTTTTTTTGCTGGAAATTGTACAGTAAATACAGTTTACATTTGTTGTAAACATTGTTGACTTGTTTGATTCTTCTAGTAATATCACTACTTATTACTTATTGTCTTTATTATTGTTTAGATTATATATACACACACACACACATATCTGTGTGTGTGTGTATAATCTAAACAATAATAAAGACAATAAGTAATAAGTAGTGATAGTACTAGAAGAATCTTGCCTTTAATCCCCTGTGGGGAAATCAGCTGGGGAGACATGAGGAAAAGTACAGAAAAACATTGATCACATTTTGATTATGCTAGGTGTATTTCAAATGCATTTAAAGGCAGAGGGGAAGCAGGCTAAAAGCATACTGAAATGGGACACTGGTCCCTCGTGTGTGTGCTTCCCATCTCCGCTGCTGAGCCCATGAATTTTAATCTTCTGATGGACGGCTGAAACCGGAATTTAAAAACCACCATCCGTCTGCTTCAATCATCAATGGCTGTGTCGCTTACCCCAGGGACACAGAATGGAGGAATGTCACTTCCAGTGACGAGGCGGAGAAGTTCCGCTGACATTTTTGTTAAATTAGACAAAGTCAAGCGGAGTGAAGGCAGACCGTAGCTCAGTGCAGGAGACTGGAACAAACAGAGAAACGCAGAGCATTGGTTATAATGGGATGCCTGGGGGCTGCATGAGCTCTCAATCAAGACCCCCGTGTTTTCCTTGATTGGTTTTGGCATTCTGCATGCAGTAGCCCATGTTAGGAGGTGTACGTCTGGGATTCTTGTATTCTTATTTCTTTAAAGGGGCCTATATTTTCTGTACTTGTTTTGTAGCATTTCGTTTTTTGTATATTTATAATTCTAGTCAAGGATTCTTGCATGAAAACAGTCGATTCAGTTAACTTTAACCAGTTTTCACACCCCCTCTGACCCTTAAGGCCCATTTACAAGAAAAATAACTATAAATATAACTAAATTTGCGTCCACACAAATGTGAGATAATGTTCTGTTTGTTGTAAGCATATGCTGCAGTTGTCATTCGTTGCTTTTAAATGATGGAGAGCTTTATGTCGGGTGGATTCTCTTGGGCTGTCAAATGTTTTTATCATTCATCAGCTGGAACAAAATTCTGAAAGTGGATCCAATCATATTGTTTCTCTTCATTGTAGACTACCATATTCTTATAGAATTATAATTAATTCTGGTTTGAACAGCCTTTACACTGTGGCCTATCCATATACTACATAAAGTGTCAAGCAATCAAATTTATTCTATTTTTTTTGTGTGACTCTGATAAGCAATGAGTCACAGGACATTGCTAGTCACTTAGTTTTCCTTTTGTAGAGTTGTGTTGCCCCGCCCACAGTAAATCCAATTGGTCTAAAAAACCCACATAACTGTATATTAAACATGTCATAGATGGCTAATTTTATGCCGTATTGTTCATCATTACCTCCTTCATTGTGGACAGACAAATTACTTGTCAATGAAAATGTATCCGGTTCCATATATTAGGACACAATGTTGAACAGCAAGTTTTTGCTACTTTACCTTTTAAGGCGTCTATGTAAATGACCTGTGTTATGACTGGCTAACCTCTTTGCATGTCTACTCCGTAACAAAACCCCTCCTAAATGGTTTTGTCAATGTTAGTATGATGGTTTATGTTTAGAATCCGTTGGATTTTGGAGTTTCACAATGTGATTGTTACATTTTATAGCAAGTTAAATGCTGTTTTTCATGTCTTCTTTACAGAAATTTTTGTTCCTGATAGACTTTGTTGTTCTTTTATTGAACGTTTTTAAAAAGGAAGGAACTGTGACTCATGCAGATTGAGGTTTAGTACTGTTGAAAACATTCAAGGCGCTGACACACGGACAAAAGATGGTTCTTTGGAATTTTCAGTATTCAAGGACTTGGATAAAACGTTTCAGAAGCATACACCAACGCAACATGCATCCACGCATTGTTAGAGGAGATAAGAATGAAAAGCTTTGTGTAACCTGAATAGATTTTCTTTGAACGAACAAAAAAAGCATCCACGAAAACCTTAATTATGCAAAAAATAAATGTAAATAATTAAATTAAAGCCACTTTCCTTTTATCATTCCCTTTTGATTTAGGTTCAGACCTTGATAGATTAAACATTTATTATTTCATAAACGTTCTTTATAAAGGACCTTTTAGAATAACTTTGAAACCTAAATGTACCTCAGGGCATTTTAATAAAAGTTCTACTAAGGCCAGCAGGTTTTGGTAGGTAAAAACTTTTTATTTTTCATCCCCATTACAGATGGTGTTCAAAGAGAGTATCAAGTGCTAGCTGATAAAGTAGTCCTTTTATTTGTTTTTATTTTAATTTCATCATTTGAGCTATAATTGGTCTTTCTGATAATCTTAGAAGTCGAAAACAAGATAAGATTATTTTAAGATTGTCAAAGCCAGGTGGTAGTGTATGTGCAACAAACAATTTGGGATGCAGATTTAAGTCTGGCTAATTGTTTTCCGGTCCCATACCTCCTCTTCAGTGTCAAACACTCTATATATCTTGCATTTTCCTTCTTTTTCATCTCTGCAGATGGTCTGGTTGTCATAGGTGTGCACTCAGCTAAATTCCCCAATGAGAAAGTCCTACAGAACGTACGCAGTGCGGTGTTGAGATATGACATCACCCATCCCGTAGTGAATGACAGTGATGCACGTCTGTGGCAGGAGCTGGAGGTGTCCTGCTGGCCCACGCTAGTGGTGCTGGGACCCAGGGGAAATCTGCTTTTCTCCCTGGTGGGTGAAGGCCATCGAGAACAGCTCTTCCTTTTCACTGAGGCCGCCCACAAGCACTACAGAGAACAAGGGCTGCTCAAGGACCATGATGTGGGAATCAAACTGTATAGAGACTCCCTGCCCCCCTCCATCCTCTCTTTCCCTGGGAAAATAGCCATGGACCCCAGCAGCAAGCAGTTGGCTATTGCCGACACAGGACACCACAGGGTATTGGTGGTCTCCCATACTGGGCAGCTGCTGCACACAGTAGGGGGTAAGACCTGTTAATACATACTTTTTAAGTAGAGTTATCAAATTCAGGGGACACTGAATTTGACTATTGTTTTGTCTTTAATTTTTTCTTAATATAATTTGACACATGTTGAGATCGGATCTTCAATTAATTATTATTCAAATGTATGCACACATTACCATTCAAAGGTTTTGGGTCAGTAAGATTTGTTAACATTCATTATTAAGCAAAGATTTATTATTAAACAAAGATGCATTAAATTAATCAAAAGTGAAAAAATATTTTTAAATTGTTACAAAAATAAAAAAGAAAGTATCACGGTTCCCATAAAAATATTAAACAGCACAACAGTTTTCAATATTTGCTAATAATAAGAAATGTTTCTTGAGCAATAAATCAGCATAATGATTTCTGAAGGATCATGTGACACTGAAGGCTGGAGTAATGGCTGCTGAAAATTCAGCTTGGCCATCAAAGGAATAAATTACATTTTAAAATAGAAAACTGTTATTTTAAATTGCAATAAATAATGCTGGTTTTACTGTATTTTTCATCAAATAAATGCAGCCATGGTAAGCATAAGAGATTTCTTTTAAATCATTACAAAATGTTATTTATATAGTATTGTTGTTGTTGTTCTTTTAATGTATAAATTATTTATTTGCAGTATAATTTAATTTAAAAAAAAATAGTAATTTGATTTAATTAAGGTCACATTTATGCAATTTATTGATTATTAAACCAAACTGCTTGAATGAATACAGAAAATGTATATCTATTGTTTTTTTTAAATGAAACCTAATTCTGAAAGCAAAACTATGCAAGAGTGCATATCTCCGCTGGAAAAAAGCATGTTCTTTGTAGCTGTTTGGGTGTTACAACCTGAAATAAGGGGCAAATTGCATCCGTCCTTGAAATGCAGTTCTGTTCCCTTAAATGCAGGATGGTTCCAAAAAATTAGGGTTGCCAACTGCCCTATATTTTAAGTATAGAAAGGCTGCTAATTTTCTTTTTGGTGAAGGTTTTGAGGCTATTTTAGTCTACTTTTACAAGTTTATCTTTGCCTTCATAGGTCCTTCAAGTGGGAGACGAGATGGAAATTTGTCTGAGGCACAGTTCAGCTCCCCACAAGGGGTGTTCATAAAGGGAGACACTGTCTACGTGGCTGACACTGAGAACCACCTTGTTAGAAAGGTAAATCAGCAGAATCGGGTCAAGCTTGTTCTCCTGCTGGCAACTCTAACCCAAATTCACTCTGATTGGTGCTTGAAAAACCGCTTGTCTCTGTCCTCAATAAAATCTGATGTTTTTTTTTTCTTCTCAAGATCAACCTTTCAGAAGGAAAAGTCTCGACCTTAGCTGGCATTGGCGTTCAAGGCACAGATAAAGAAGGCGGAGCACCGGGACCACAACAGCCAATCAGCTCTCCCTGGGACGTTGCCCTTGGCAACGCAGGTACTTTTAGTGGTCATCCTCCTCCAGTATACTCTGCTCCTTCCTTTAGAATTAGAGTCACTCTGCCTTTTTTTCTACCTTGCTCATAAAATTTAATATCTTGTGAATCTGCGTTTCATTATTCTGCCGGGAGCGTTTTATACATCCCTTTTTCTGCCTCTCACATCTTCTCTCTATCTGTCTTGTCCATCTTGGAATCTTTAATCAGATTGTTCTCAGAAGTCTTCGCTCTGTAGATACCACACTCGCCTTTGATTTTCACAAGTGTGTATGGTGTGGGGTGCAAAAAGATCTTTGTTCTGCTAAAATTGCCTCTTGTTGTTTGGAAGCAGCCCTGGAGTAAATTGCACGGTCTGTCAGTTGCTAACCAGAGACACAGAGCTGAATGTTGTGGTGTTGCCTGAGTTAAACCCACAACACCAAAGAAAAAGAAGGTGATATGATCAGAAAGCACTCATGTGGCTGTGGTTTCTGATAAATGGTGCCTCTAACAAACTGTTTTTGTCGAAGATTGCCTCTTTTTGTTTTGCAGTAATATCTTTATACACAGCGGCCCTGGACAAGATGTCCCACAGGTCTGAGAACATTTAATTTAACATGCTTCTAAAACATAATTAAAATTCCTACTTTATATTTTAAGGCATTATTAAATCAGTCTGCATTATTCAGTCATATCGTTCCATTAAACAGCTGAAGAAATTGATGTGGCCAGCATTAGCCAAGAGAGAGAGAGATGTTTAAAGTGGTCTGTGTGGTGTGTGTCTGATTTAGTCAGAGTTTGAGTTTGGAGCACATTCATTGATGGTTCCTGCTGTGCATTAGGTCTGTTCCCTGAACAGTCGGTTGCTTTCTTGCAGGTTATCCTACGAAGAAAATAAGATATCGCTGTTTCCTGTTCCTTTATGCATCTGCTGTTGTCCCTGATGCCGTTTTACTTTTATTATTTATTATTACTTTTATTATTTCCATTTCTTTCCTTCTTCCTTTCCTTTTATTTTTCTTCCTTTCATGTGTTGTTTAATGCAGCAGTCTTTTTGAATGTTTGATTTAAAGTGGTCATAAAATCAGAATTTTCACTTCTGAAATAAAAGCTTCCTCCAGTTCAAAAGACCATTTATTAACTAAGCCACAGAAGCTGCTCATTCCAGATTGTTTGATTTCTGAAGTCAGAAAGTTGAATTAATTAACATAAGGTCATCTACTTTTTACATTACATCTACATTTTTACACATTAACAATGCCTATTCTATGTTCAGAAATTATAAAAAGGGTTAGGATGTAGCATTTTTCCTAAACACCCCAGTAAATGAAATTTCTTATTTTTGCAAGAATAGTTTTATACCATAGTGTTAATAGATAGGTTAAGGAAAAAAAATATATATATTAGGGGTGTCACAATAGACAAAAATTATAGTTTGGTACAGCAGGGGGAAGAAACCTAAATATACATTTTTATTTTTTTATTTATTTTATTATTATTAAACAGTGGTTTACTGAACGAATTGTCTTTGTCTTTAAATAAATACAATTAGAATGTACGTAAGGATAAAAAAATCTATATTTTGTAATCTGGGGCTCTTTACTTACACATTACTATAATATTAAGGTTACAAATAACAGATACAAAACTATTAAATTCAGTTTCTGTTTGTTATATAAAACACAAATAAAAAAGAAAAGAACAAAGTGTACAAATTTGTAAACTGCATGTAAGGCAGTTTTTGCATTAACTTCAGTATCTAATTATAAAGTTATGTTTCTACTTCAGGTTAAGTAAAATATAATGAATATATAAGCAAATAGAGGGCATATATTTAGCGTAACAGTGTCTTTCCACGGTTAAAACATTGAGACACACACAGGATCTTTCAACATACCTTCACATGTTCATTCATGTTTATTTCATGCTGTAACTAGTAGTAAACGGTATTAAAGAGGAAGAGATGATCGCATTCACTCGCACTCCACACTGCTGCTTGAACTGATGTGTCTATACAGAGATCTGTCACACCACATCAAAGAGTGCCAGTGTTGGGCAGTAACGCATTACTTAGTAACGCGTTACTGTAATTTGATTACATTTTTAGTAACGGAGTAATTTAACGCGTTATAATTTTCAAAATAGTAATTAGAGTATAGTTACAAGCCGAGGTCTCTATACGTTACTGCCGCGTTACATTGCTGACAGAATACAGTGTTTTATAATCTAGAGATTGTAAAAAGGATGTAGCACACGCACTGTCGAGTCAAGTGCCAGTGGATTAGAGACCTGCTCCCGTGAGACCCGACGCAACAGAGTGCGGCGCAGGACAAGATGGACGAGTGCTGGTGCGGGCGGGTAGACACTCGTGTGTGTGTGTGTGTGGGATGCGGGAGAATAAAATGATTCACGGGACTCCCGCAAAATAGAAATATCTAAACATAAAATATCTAAAAACAAATAAATCGTTATGCATCTATTGCACAAAAGCAACATGAACTAATATAAAATATAAACGATTAACAGGTGCATTACTTTTAAAAGGAGTAATCAGTAATCAGTAATTTGATTACATTTTCAGAGTAACTTGCCCAACACTGAAGAGCGTAAAACAGCATTTATTGTTTAAATTTCCTGGTAAAAATGGACAGAATTTGAAAGATGAGACTTTGTTTCTTATTGACAGTAACGAAACACAGAGTATTATTGGTGGTTAAAAGGCTACAACGCTGTATTTGTTGTGTACACATGTACTCGCATGTACCCACATGTACCGAACTGAAAGACATGTACTGAAAATTTGCTGTACGAATACATGTACCATTACACTCCTTATATACAGTATGTGTGTATATACACACATACATAAGGGGTGTAACGGTACACGTATTCGTACAGCAAATTT